TGGATGCTCAACAGCACCAGGCTCCATGCCACCTGACCACAGACACACTTTATGCTTGCAGCATGCCACTAACATGTCAGGAGTTCACTTCTGTGTGGTTTATCTGTGCTGGGCACTTAGGTTCATGTCTGCGTCCAGGTGGAGGCTTTGCTCTTCTTGCTTCTTGTTATATTTTCCTTTTCTGAATGCATGAAACATTTCTACAGCTCAGAAATCCTAGCTGTAACTAGCAGTGCTCAAAAAGGGTCACTCCTGTCCCTGCCTCTATTCATCCCTCACAAATCATCTCTTTACCCCCTCAGGTAGCCATTTCTATTAGTTTCTGGTTTCTCTCGCCTGCCTCTTCTTTGAGAAAAATACAGCTACTATCTCTCCATGCATCTCACACAAAAGGCGCCACACAATCCTTTGCCCTGTGCTTGAAAAGCTCATGTTGTGCCATCTCATCTCTTAGCTGTCTTCACTCTCCGCCGTCAGCAGGACAGAGAGAACGTGTTAATAAAAATGTACTGGCAGAACCATTTATTAACAAGCTGAACCAGGTCCTTTGGACACCAGGTCTTGGGACTTCTGGAGAAGATGAGAGGCTGAGCTAGTCCCTGAATTAGCCTCCAAGCTTGAGGCAGCAATAACCCTCACGTCTCAGGAACTAAATTCCTATTTACCTCTGAACACCAGCACAATTATTTTTGTAGTTGCCGAAGTTTTTGAGGGCATATTGAAGACCTAGAGCCTGGGGACTGGGGAGCCTGCACAGAGGAAGACGGAGATGATTAACAGCAACCACAGTCCCACACTCCCTTAAGCAAACTCAACCTGTGAACATTGAGACTCACAGAACAGCAAAATGGGGGTGAATGTTTATTCTGATCAAATCTTTTCCTGAGGAAAAACCTTCCCCGGCAGGATCCTGTTAGGAGGCGGATCTCTCCAGTGTATTGAAATGAGTCATTTCAACCTGCGTCACATTGACTTGCCAAACACCCCTGTGTTTATTACATATCTATCTGTGCTATGCGATGCAGACCTTTCAAAAAGAATCATAAATCTGTTGCTGAGGATTTGGGCAATTGAGTGGTGTGGGGAGGGGTGGGGGGAAGGCAAAGGGCCAACCTGAAATTCTTGGTTGTTGTCTGGAGCTGTGAGCAATGAGAAGCAAATTCAATATTTTCTTCTCACTGAATCTGGAAGGTCCCTTATTTCAGTCTGGTTTAAAGTTATGGATGGAAAATTCTGGGTCTTTATTTCAGGCTGGTTCATAGTTATGGAAGGCACATTCTGGAAGGGCCTTTATATAAGGCTGGTTCATGGTTATGGATGCAACCTTCTGAAAGGTCCCTCATTTCAGAATAGTTCATAGTTACAATTGCAAAGTTTTGGAAGGTCCCTTATTTCAGGCTGGTTCATAGGTATGGATGGAAGGTTCTAGAAGGTCTCTTAATTCAGGCTGGTTTGGTTATGGATGGAGCTTACTGAAATGCCTTACATTATAGTGCAGGGTGAAATGCTGGGTCTTGGCCATTTACAACGCTTGGGTGACACTCCAGCCCAAGCACAGAAAAAGGCATTACACTCAGACTGGTGGCTTCTCCAACATCTTCATAAACGATAACACTTAAAACATTACCCACGAGAACCCTAAGTGGGCATTTTGAAGCCTTTTTCTTCCCGAGTCAGGCACACTCAGCAAATATGCGCTGTAAGGTACCACTTTTAAGCCAGGATTTATTTGTTGCATTAAACGCAGTGGCACATGAAACTGGATGGCACCGAATCTTCAAATGAGTGGCTGCATCCGTTTCCCAGGACTCTGAGGGTTATCGAAAAGGAGGGAGTCAGGTGCTGTGGGCCACACTCCTTACGGTGGCGTCTGGAAATCTTAGGGGAAGGCATGATGAGGACGGTAACCAGCTGGCGACTCTGTCTGTCTGGGTCCCAGATCTGCTGGTTTGTCTGAACTATGGGCTGGGGGGCTTGGGTGGCTCAGAGTTGTGCAAACAGACAACATATGCCTCCATAAGGCAGACATGAGGGCTGGAGTTCTGTGTAAATCTAATTATTAGCATGAACCAAAGGTACTGTCACTGTTTAACTCATCCGACCTTTTAAATGGATAACCAACCTTGAGGCTTAATTGGATTTTTTTTAAAAAAATCAATTTCTAGCCATCTCATAGTGTTGAAACAAAGTACCGCATTCTCAAGCAATTGTAAAATCTGGTCTGCCCAAGACTATTTTTTATTATTTACAACTTTAAAATGACACTCTCCATCTCGGTGAGCATTTTATGCGCATACAGACCTTTGGTAAACACCTGCAAGCTCACACGTGTGCACACCAGGCGCATCACCACACAATCCTTCTGTTCGGCAGTGGGCTGATTCATCAGCCGCAATCTCTTCGCACCAATTACACAGAGCTGAACTGGGGATAATGGCTCACCACTGTCTGCAAATCTCTCTTAGCTGCAGCCTGCCATCATCTTTGTAATAAGAAAAAAACCCCGGAGGAAGCTTTTTACCAAATCACATCTTGACCATTAAATCTTTCTTGAAGAAGGTCATTTAATTTTATGGAAAGAAATGAACAATTAAAACGGAATCCGCAGAAAGGAGTGCTGGTCTAGAAATTAGGGCGCTGACAATCCCAGTGCTAAGGTGTACCAGCCTTGTGCCCATGCCACATCCAGGCATGGGTCTCAGTTTCCCCACCCAGAAAAGGGGGAGGCTCAGTGTGGGAGGGTGTTCTTTGTCCCCCACAGCAGATAAAAACAGAGGACTGATGCCCTGGGTCAGAACACTAAGTTAAAAAAACAAAAAAAAACCAAAACAAGCATTTGATTCCCTCAGCATTTCCTGGGAAAATGAGACCAAACGATACAAACAGGGCCCTTGGCCTCTATCACATCTGTAAATGAGAAACAGTGATTACTAATGGTGGAATTTGGATGGTTAGCTTAAAGCAATTATAGAATTATAGTTGACAAACAGAAAATACTAAACCCAGTGGTCTGCTTTAACGACGCCTGATTTGAATGTGCACCATCAAATGGAGCTTTGTTTAAATAGCCCATTTTTGGCAGATTATGGAATGAAAGTGGAGGACCACACAATTATCTCAGCGTTCAGGACGGTCCAGGGAGCTCATTTGCACAATTGGACAAATGATTATTTTCTTTTGCCTCAATTGGCCAGATAATTGTGCACGAGCCTCTGCCATTTGGCTCTGTGGAATGTCCCTTGATGTGGTAAGAGAACCGAGCATAGCCGAGTTTAGTCTGTCTGAGGGTGGTATGGAGTTGGGGACAAGATGCACACAGCTGGAGTCCCCCAGTCTATCTCTGAGCCCCAGATAGGAAGCACTTCTACACAAGCTGTCTGCTCGTCCACCAGTGCCCTCATTAGCTTGTTCTGACACCCATCAGCTTGCAGGGTCTGCTTCCCTTCAGTTTCAAAACAACTCAACAAAAACATCAGACATAAGGCTAAAGGTGCTATGTGGGTGGCCAAGAGAATTCAGAGAACACCAGAGGTTTCAAAGGGCCAATAAACACAGAAGTACACAATGGAGTCACACTCGCAGGCACTGAGCAGAGGCAAGCTCCCAAATACACATCAGATGGGCCAGAGCTGCCTTCCTTAGAAGAAATTAAATCCTACTGTGTAACCACAGAGGCTGCTGTCCCCCTTATCCACCTAATGGCAGCTCACCATGAAAAGGTTTCTCCACATAGTCCCTGTATGGCTGAGATAAAAGGGACCCTGGCCATCAAGCAAGGATGCTCACAGTTGGCATTCACATGAATCTTTGGGTAGATGGGTAGGTGGCTGGCTATGACCTCAAGGTTGCAGATGGGTGGAGTCTGCTCTCATTTCATGTAAGATGTTCACCACAGTTAGCTGAGTTCACACACAGCTAGACCTTCGACAGTCAAGACTCAACTGCCCACCAACCTGACCTAGTGCCCAAGTCTCAGAGCAGTTTACTTCATGGCAGTGTCCAATTGTGTGTGTGCACTCTTGTGTGCCCATTCTAAGTCCAGATCACCAGGGGCTCCACTGCAAAGACGGCCGTGCTTCCGTTCCAGAGCCACCCACAGCCCTGCATGGTAGCACTTGCCTGCCTGTAACCCCAGAACTTGGGAGGTAACCACAGGGTCCAAGTTCAAGGGCAACCTGTCTCAAGAAACATACCCTCCCCTTACATCTATTCATCAGTCTGTACATTTTCCAGCCTTCCCACATCAGGGTGTAGGCTTCCCACCTCAAGCCATGTCAGGGTGTAGGGCTTAAATGTCACCACCACTGGAATCAACTCTCTAGCCTTATGGAAGACGGCTGTCCTTTGAGAGTGAGTGACTTCTGGGCTAGCCAATGGTTGATGAGAAGGAAGGGACCATTTGGCAGAGTTCAGGACACCTTCTGTGGCTCAACAGGCTCCCTGCGGAGCACTGGAGACTGCCCCCCAGACTGCCAGGACTCACAGGCAGTGACAGCCACTGACTCTGGCCCTCCATCACGTGTCTTAAGGCCACCTCTTTTCTCTTAGGTATGTATGCAAATGAACACCGAGGTTCTGCTCTCACTGTGGAGGAAGACCTAGACATTCCTAGCAAAGACTGTCCCTCATGCTTGTCATACCTCAATGGAGGAAGGCATTTGCCAACACTAAGTCCTGGTGCTGGCACACGTGAACCACTTTGGGCACAGTGTGAAGATGGCCAAACATGCTCACATAAAGTGTGTTTTCATAAAGAAAAATAATTATCAGCCTTTTATGTGGCTTCTCTTTTTGTATATTGGATAGCAAATTGATTGGTCCCTTTGTGGGCCTCCATTAGATAGACAAATTGACTTTTAGACACTGAGGCAGAGGCCTCAGGCACAAAATAAATAGCCATGGCCCCAAAGATCCCTGACGTGGCCAGACCCTCTGCTAACACAAACACATTTGAACAAAATATGACCCCCATCATTAAAATTAATACTAGGAATGCTGGATGCTTTTCAATCTGTGAGATTGCTTTATTGTACAAAAAGTTTCCAGTAACAGTAAATTAGTTAGGACAAAAAAAAAAAGTCATTTTGGATAGAAGCGCTTCACTAATTGCTTTATTTAAGCACACAAGGAAAAAGGTCTTATCTGGCCAATTAGGTTGGCGGGTTTTATTACCTTTAAGAAGCCATTAGCTGGGATGAAACACTGCAAGCACTTGTGTCAAAACAAATAAATAATGCTCTCTCAATTAGCAGAGAAAGCGGTACATCCGTTACATTAGACACACACTGCTTCACACAGTGGCCCAGCCAGCACCCAAATGCCCCTCCCCCCAACAGACAGACAGACAGACAGACAGACAGACAGACAGCAGTTCTCAGCTAGTCTTAGGCAAGATCAGGGGCCCCAAAGGACTGACACCTCTCTTTTTCCCCCACTCTACAGGGGTCCCCCAGGACAGTGGAAGGAGGAGGTGTGCAGGGGTTGGGCTTCTTCCGCAGGGCACTTCCTAGGCACAGGGAGACATTTGATTGTCACCTCGGGAGCCAGACTGAAGGGCAGGATGAACCCACAGACAGTGTTTGTCAGCAGACAGAAGAACCCTCTTCCAAAATCAATTACCCTGAGGTCCCTACCAGGACTCTGGTACTAACTTCTCTGGTACCCTCACAAGCTTCTGGTCTTTTCCCCAGGGCAGGCTCAATGGAAAAGAGCAGTGAGGCCTCCAAAGAGCTGGTGCACAAGGCTCTGGACCCAGCTGAGCCCGGGTCTGTCCATGCCCCCTCAGGGTGACCATCAGGGTGGCCGTCTTCAGACAGTAGGTGACAGTCCCTCTTCTCACAGGTCCTTGGGACAATTCCTAACCAGATCTGTTAGGCTACCCAGAGGGGATGGGGGAAACTAATCCCCACCACCCAAAAAAAACGCTATTCAGGGAAATAAATATAAATAAGTGGTGATCCTTTCTTAAAAGGCCACCTTTCTTTGAGGCTCTCACAATTATTAGGCATGGCCTTCACAGATTGCTTACAGCAGGTCCCCTAACTTAACAATCCACCCAGGAGCAGGTTGTCTAACCTCAGAAGTCAGGAGTGGAGGCCTGTGGGATCCCATTTCCCAATTCTGAAGCAATGGGGTGGGTGCTGACCCCCCTTCCCAACCGTCCCGACTAATGTCACCAAAAATGTCTGGTAAACCTTTGGATCCCAATATCCCACAGCCTGGGTAGGGAGGCTGAGCTCAGGGTAGATCTGCAGGAGTTGGAGTTTTGAGTCACTCCATCAGTGAAATCTATATATACATACATTTGCATATATACAAATGAAAATGGAACACACTTAACAGGGCCATACTCTTAAATAATTGAAGAGAAGCAGAGACAATTTTAAAAAGCCATCATAATCACACAAAGAACATTAAAGTTACAGCAGTGTCAATGAAGACAGGGCAAATGAGACACTAATGCCCTTGTCTTCAAAACCCCGTCGATGTCCACACCGTTCTAGTTCTGCAGAGTACCCCAGCACCATGGTTAGCAAGTAGGTAAACAGAGCCTTCCTTTGGCAATCTGATATGCATGCTCACACACAGAGCACGCATATCTACACACAGCACGCTCGAGTATACATACACACACACAGGGCTTCCCTAGTCGAGGTTCTCATTGTCCTCAGGAATATACCCGCTTTCTGGGCATTGCTAAGTGGCAATGGCAGAGTGGATAAATCAAATCATGGGTAGAATATTTTACTTTGAAATGGAGTGATGTTTGGTTAATAATTCGAGATCCACTAATCCTAAATGGGGTGACCCATTTAAAATGGCTTCTGTGTAAATTTACAGTTCATTAAATGAAGTCAGGTTTGGACAGGTCATTACGTAGCTAGAGTGTAAGCAATGGACTGAGCAAGGATGGCTGGGGACACACTGGCTCAGTCTAGTTTGTGACACTGTCAAGCTTTCATGAAATGAGGTTCAAATGACCAACTTTCTGATTCAGGAGGTTTTGCTTAGTAACCCCTCTTGGTTTACAGTAGAAAAGGCAGTGCAAAATTCTGAATGAGGGATATGCTACTTACAATTGATTTAAACGCATGAAGCTGGTTTAACTGGCCCGTCTAAATGTGTTAATTAACATCAATGATGGTTTCTTATTTTTCACACTTTGTTACTCTGATCGTTAACAGTGATGGAAAAGCTAAATTAAGTTAATGGGGAACGGATTATAAATTCTTGAAGGACTTCTTGGTTTGTTTTCAGCTGGGAAGATGAAGAGGCATTTTGCGCCTCTACTCATAAATTTTTGGTACCAAAGTTCTTAAAAACCAGATGATTGAAAACAATTTCCTACAAATTATTTAACATGCTGCTCAGGAGAACATGCACATGACACTGGTGCCTCAGCAATGCCTGTCACCCTCCACTCCTTCACTTCCTGGAAAGCATGTTTACATGACAGTCTATTCAGCAAGAGCTTCAAGTCCTTAAGCTCTGGACAGAGATGGAAACCCGTGGCCAAGCCTGCATCCCAGTCCACCAGACAGGCCGCTCACAGGAAGGTGCACTGCCCACTGTTGGGCCAGCTGGCTATGCTCTGTAGGCAGTACAGTGGTGTGGCGCCAGCCAAGCCCTCATACCCAGGAATCCATGCAGTAGCACTCTCCAGAATGTGGAGTCACTAGCGAGACTTCACACCGATGAGGACCACAGTGAGCACTACGATGATGACAACCAGTATTAAAATCACAAGCATCTTCCGGTTCTTCTTTTGGTACTGCTCTGCCTACAAAAGAGGAGGGAAGGTGTCATCTCCCCACAGCCCTCACACAAGCCCTCACCACAGCCCTCCCCACAGCCCTCACAACAAGCCCTCACCACAGCCCTCCCCACAGCCCTCACACAAGCCTTCGCTCTGCAGGATGGTCTTACATCTGCACTACAGGACAAGCCTCACGGTTAGACCCTCCCTTAGTGTGAACCACCAAGACCCTGATTCACATGTGGATCTACTGTGAGGACAGAGGCCAAGAAACACCAAGGTCACCTTGGCCTGCTACTTCCTACTCTGGCTTCTCAGGAAGGTCCTTGTGCCCAGGATGAATGTACATTGTCTTTCTTCCCTGTACAGAAAAGGGTGACCTGAAAGCATGGAACCACTGGCCCCAAGATGCCCTGTCTCTACTTCCGCTGAACCTGGAAACAGAACACCTCATTGTCTGAGGAAGAAATGGTCAATGTACTCATCTACGTTGACATAAGAGCCACCTGAGGAACTACCCCACCCTTACCCCAGGACTGACGGCACACAGAAGAGCTCCACCTCCCCCTACATGCAGCACCCAGAAGCACTGGGGAGCCCCCTCCCCAGTCAATGTGAGTGATACAGAACACTTAACATCCTTCAGATGGCTGGTGACTGACACAGACCCCAAAGAAGGAGCACATGGTCAGAGACTGCTGAGACTGGTGGCTTAGCATCCTTAGGGAACACACCAGGGAAGCCTCTCCTCACCTGGAAACAGGACAGGGGACCACCTGTTGGGAGAGCTGGCCAATGGGAGCAACTCCCAAGTCTCAGTGGCCTTTCCACAGTGTGGGCTGAGGACAGCGCCATTCCTCAGAGCAACCCAAGAACCAAGGAGCCAACACAGACCACATACTGGGAAGCCCCCAATAACTCCAGACCAAAAGGAAAGTCATAGCTTGTGTCAGACCCAGCCCCTCCCCCGGGTCTGCATCACAACACAAGCACATTTCCTAGTTGTGACCTAGGAAACTCCAGGGCTGGTGGGTGATTTACAGCACCTCAAACCCGTGACAGCTTTGGCTTGTGATACACCTGTTACTCCAAACACCTATTAAGCAAGACTTGTCCCTAGCCTGTGAGGTATGGGCACACAGATGGCCAAGGGCCTCCTTCCTGCTTTCAGAAGAAGAAGAGGACTTGAGAAAGCGCTCATCACGCGCCCAGAGGCACCAATGGGTATCTGTGACAAGGAAGCAGACAGTGTTGATTTTATCTGTCAAGTAGAGCTGGCTCCACTCCCTTCACAGGAGGCACGTCCCCAACTGCACACGTGACCTGGATGTTCATGAGCCCGTTTCTTACAACTGGTTGTAAGAGTTCTAAAATGATTTCCACCACCTTCTTAAAAAGAAATTTAATGAACATGCAAACCCCATGAAAGAGGCCTGTCACTATCAAGAGCACAACCCACTTCATTCCCACAAACTTCTCTAGAGGTGACACAGTAAGGAACATTTAGATTTTTATCCTTGTTGACTGCCCTCTGCCAGCAAGTTGTCAGAAGTGAACCCCAACACCCTAAGTTAGCAGCAACAAGAGATGGCCTCAAGCCCATACCAGGAAAGTGCAATCAACTGGCTTCTCTAACAAAACACAGAAAGATGAAAAGCAGGAAAGAAAACCCTGGGTCCCCAGGTGCACCCCAGCCTTGTCTGACCTCTTGGTGAGACCTGCATGACAGCCAGGCTACAGCATGACAGCAAGCCTCAAGCGGCTCCCACTTCTCCCCTGGTGTCTTGGGCTGAGGACATGTTACAGAAGAGAACCTCCTAGGAACTCCCAAGATTTGAAGACCCAGCACAGAGACCATTGGTACCTTGTGAAGCTGTTTCAAGCCATCTTCCGTCTTGACACAGGACTGTTCAACATTATAGTCAATTCTGTCAAGAACTGTACCCTGAGCAATAAGAGACAGTACAGACAGTCAACATTTACAGCCAGGGAGACTGAACTGCAAACCCTGACACCTAGAGACCCCTCCAGAGCAGTGTCAGACCCCCAAGCAGTGCCAGGGCACGCTGCATTGAGTGCTGGGTCAGCTGTAGCAAGAACCAAAACAGGTCTGTTTTTGATTTAGCTTCTACAGATACACCACCTTTCAGATGTACTAGGGCTTAGAAACGTGTTTCATAGAAATGGGCTCTGGGAAGCAAAGGGCCATGGCTTTCCACTTCTTGCAGCTTAAATACTGGCATCTGGTAAATGGAGACTGTCAGCTAAGTTCTACTACCTTGGCCAGGCTGCTCCAATCACTGTCTAAAATGCCAACTTGGGTCTCAAGGACAGGTTTATTAAACAGTCTCTTGGCTCATACAAGAAACAGGGAGAAAAGATGGCATTTCCCTGGGAAACACAGCAGTTAACCAACCAGCTCTGATGGTGCCTCAATGCTCAACTCTGCAGTTCGTTTCAGGGGACCAGGACCCAAACAAATCCCTGCTGGCAAGATAATAAAATGCCCTAATCAGATTGTAACAATGAACAACGATTTAATTCTACTTAAAAGCTGGTGGTTCCAACAGCCATTATATAACAATCTGCCACTGTCAGAAGGGAATCTTGTACAATGGCAGAATTGGGACAGGCTTGGTCAGACTCCACCAGGCCTCCAAAGAATACATGCACAAGAACATCTAGCGTTTTTATTCCTTCTTTCTTTCAGACTGAAAAAGCAATCAGTATTGTCACAAGGAATAACAACAGCCCTCAGTACCTGCAAACGCGTGCAGTGCAAGTAACGCATGTTTAAGTATTTTCCCAACTGAAGGTCAGGAGGAAAGACACCCACAGGACACACACCTGCTCCACAATCATGGCTCCCAGGTCCCTGAAGATTTCACTGAGGTCCGCAATGGACTGTACAATCTGACGGATCTCTCGTTCCCTCTCCTCCACCATCAGTGTGTTCTGCTCTACCAGTACCAGCTGGTCATCTGTGAAACCCTGTCCAAACAAGAGTCTCCTTGTTAGGAAAGCTGTGGCAGGCCATTTCAGACAACATTTAGGGAAAACAAATTCTGAAAGTTTTTTTTTTTTTTTTTTTTTTTTTTTTTTTTTTTTTTT